TGGCTGCAAATTCTTGACTTCCCTCTTTAGGTTTTTCTCTATTATCTGTGGACCATGTAATTTTCCTTTTTGCCTTGGTATAGCTTTTATGTATTTAAACAAATGTGGTACTAAAATTTTCTCCCAGCTTTCTGGGTTGTTTACTGCAAATAGATTGATCAACATTACCTACTCCATCATCGCAGGAAAGAAAACACTCTTTAAGTCTTTAACACGATATTTTGCTTTATTTCTTTTCTCCTTAAACTCTATGTCTTGAGAAGGAAAACTATCATTCATTTTGGTATGCCCAGCACTCAGCAGAGAAGGAATATAATGCATGATTACTAAACATTTGTTGGCTAAATTAATAAGTGCATCTTTCTACTGGAATTTGTGATATTGAATATTAATTTTTTCATCATCTTCCAGTGTCACTCCTGCACAGTAGAAAATCAAGGGCATGAAAATGGGAATTGTCTGTTCTGGCTGTAGTCAAAGGGTTAGAACTTAGACCAACACACAAAAAATGTTTTCCTCAGAGAATGAGTATTTTATAAATGAGATGGTTTAGAACTGCATAGTGATGGTAAAATGTAGGTGAGTTTTAGTTTATTCTTAAATTCTCAACATAAAAGATGCCCTCATTTTCTGCAGTATATGGTGGGCTGCTCTCACCTCCAACCTTAATCCTTGACCTATCACCTCTCATGACAGTGGAGTCAGTGAGGACAGTCCCACTGAGTTTATGCAGAAGTGTGTGCCCCTGTTGTGAGTGAGCCAGCTGGGTTTTGGCACATTTCTTTCTTCCTGCTTATCTTAAACCCTACACTGGAACTCTGTGGATACATATATCTGGACTGCATTATTTTTCTAATGTAACTTCTTTTAATACAGTGAAAAATTTAAAATCGTCTCCTGACTTTCAAATTTCTTCATCCAACTATCATAGATATAATCACTGTTATCATTTTGGTCTTTCACTGATGTCAGTTCTAGTATTTTCTCTTTGTACTTAAACAACAGAGATTTATCATTCATGGATTGGATTATTTTTAACCATACTCCTGCAGGACACCAGGGCAGGCAAATATTTGAAAACTATTGATTAGAAAATGGATCTAGACTCCATGTTTGAGTTTGCTTTTCATCTCAGATTTTAAGTTTTCTGGTGGGCAAGGACAAATATAATTCATTATCAGTAATAAATCTAGTATTAAAGAGAACTAGAACTCAAAATATATTCATTACATGAAGAGACTCTTCCCCAAGTGTTATTTAACATATAAAATAGAGTATAATTTGTTGTATTTTTATACTTTAAGACCAACGTGCATAGAAAAAAAAAATAAGTATTTTAGAGAACATATGACATCTTGTTGAAAGGTCTCCTTTCTGGGATAAAATTTTAAGAGAAACTGTTAAGATACAAGTAAAGATTATACTGCTTATTCAAAGGGGAGGATAAAATCATAAAGAAATGAAAGGTTTTTATCTCATGAAGAAAACGATTAGTGAGAGTGAATCTCTGTAGTAAGAGGAAATACCACACATCAAGAGATGAGGTTATGAACTCAAACAGGCTCCTTATGTAGGAAGGCTTTTGATGTAGCTCAGTTGAGAACCCTCCTTTCTTTGGTTATGCTCTTATTTATCTGTTTTTTTTTTTTTTTTTTTTGAATGTGGGCAGAAACTGAAGTCTACCTAAACAGATATCTGGAACTCAGGACCACATTCAAGAAAGCTATTTGAATTTCTTACATTCGTGATTATTTTTTCCTTGCCTAAATATTAAGTCTGCTGGTTGGCATCCTTGAGTAAATTTTTAGAATATGTCTTTTTAAAATGATATTGACACCAAAAGTTAGGGTGGCCTGGCCTAGTTTCATTCATCCTTCTTCAGTCATCAGATCTTGGACTTATATTGCTAAAGCACGCCTTACTTTTTTGTCTGCATGGAATTCTTCCCACTGTATATGAACTCACCGATACATTTGTATTTTTGTAGTTAACTGTGTCAATCATTAATACCATCCCTACATATTTTGGATTTTCCATCATCCCAGAAATTCCAGTAGGATTATATTTCTTAGTATTAGACTGCGTGCGATCATGCTATCTTCAGGTCATTGTGGGTAGAAGTGACTTGTAGCTTCTTGATTAGAAAAGGAAAATTCAAGTGCTGATGTGAGGCTCTCCAGCAATCTCTTTCCCTGTGACCAGCAACATTTGCTCTGTCAGCTTAGGTTCCTCAGGGCCACAGCGAGCAGAACATTCCTGCTGATCCATGGGTCACTAAAATTTTGGGATTGCTAATTACTGTCTGTACTAGGGTTCCACTGCAGAAATAGAATGAACACACACACACACACCCTCAGTGATCAAAAGGAATTGATTTGTGATTATGGGGCTTCTAAGCAAATCTGAAGTCCATAGGGCAGCACACCAGGAAAGGCAGGCTGCAACTCAGGCAGGAGCTGACGCTGTAGTCCATAGGTGGGATTTTGCTTTCACAGAAGCCTCCGTTCTGCTTGTTGGGCCTTTCAATGGAATGATTGAGGCCCACCCTGATTATCAAAGGGTAATCTTCCCTACATTACAAATAAACTGATTATAGACTTTGATTAGACATCCATATAATGTGTTCATAGCAGCCCTGAGTTTGGTGTATTGCTAATGGGACAATCCCTTAGCCAAATTGACACATACTGACCTTTACACTGTCATTTATTAATTAGGTTACCTCAATTACATGTATGTGCAACAACTCAGCAATATATCACTGTCAGCAGATTTTGACTCCTTTAATCTTCTATTTCATGCAACTTTTTATAAATATCTACAAGACTGGCTTAGTGACAAACTCCAAAATACAGAATTTTGTCTTCCACCCATAAATTAAATGGTATTTCATGGACTGTTTTCACTTTTGAATGAATGCCCATACTGGGCTACATGTGAAATAGAATAAAGCACTATTTACCTCTTGATATTACTGATACTACCCAAGTTAAGTTGAAAATGAAGCCAGGCTAAATGTATTCTGACTCCACCACCACTTCTTCCAATCTGTCCTGTGGCATCTTGTTCCTTTTCAGACCCCCAGGAATATTACTTCTGTCCTCTATAAATCTCTGTAAACAGCCACCTTAACCAAATATTCAGCAACATATCAGTACCTTTGCATTTATCAAATCAATCATTAGAATACTTCAAAACATTATACAAGCTTAGAATTCATCTGCTTTACTTCACTCAGTGTGTGTTCTATGTCTCATTTTCTCACATAGAAACATAATGCGCCGGGCCTTCAGAAGTTGTAATTTCTCTTCCAGCTCTAAAATCTGTATCTTTATCAGATAATCATATTCTACATTATTTTTATTTTCCACCTTCAGTGCTAGTAATTAATCTTTATGACTCCAGGATATTTGGTTACTATTGATTTGATAGTTAATATCTATGGAGTAGATCCACATTATTTAACATGGAGATATCCATGCCCATATGAGACTGTCTAACTCAAATGGCATATACTATGTTTCATTTCTTTCCTGTTTTACTTTGAAGTCACTTACAAATTCCAAGCCACTTGCTTTCAGTGTTAGTTAGGCCTTGACAAATTGCAAAAAACCAGCCACATTGTCAGGATATTTCAATTATTGTGATTTTTATTGATGTCAATACATAAGAAAGTATGGAAGATAGGAAAGCAACCCAGTAGCTACAAAGTCCAGACTCATTGTTCAGGAATCATTCATGTCTCCAGTAACCTAAAAGAAATGGTTAATCTCAGGGACTTTAATTATCTTGACTCAAAAAATTATTTTGCTGCTGTGACTGTTTCCATCTTGGCTGCTCTGTTATTCATTTACTTTTTGTTTCTCACTCCTTAAGGGAGGGCTTTGATGGGTGGGGTCAGCTAGCATGAAACAGGAAGACCACTTAACCTTTCCTGAGGCCCTTGTTTGGCCTGTAAATGAATTGCCTTTGTGCAATTGTGAGTGACTTACGTATTAACAGACATGATTTTGCTTGTGTAGGCCTGGTCTTTCCAGGAAAACTATGGAGCCACCCATGAAATATTGATAACATATGTATAGCTTTATTGCTAGGGACAAACTATTTCTCAATGACACTTTCCCAGTAAGGATTTTCAAAGTGCTCCTTTCTTATTAGCATGCAGTTTCTAAAGAAGCAGATAATCTCCATTAAAAGCAAGCATAACTAAAGAGTAAGCTCTGATTCGTGAGTGGTGTTGGATTTTCCGAGTTCTCTTTAAAAGAGCTTAATTTCCCACATATATTGGAAAGTCACATATAATTTCAACATTTTCAATCCTGGAAATTGAGGTCAGTTGTCCCAAGATCAGTTGTCTACCCAGGTGGGAACTCTATAAACTAGAAACCAAGTTTGTCTGTTTCTGTATCTTATAATGAGCTAAGAATGTCTCAGGTATTCCTTGGAATTTTCCATCCATGGGGAACAGTAGAATCCAGACAGGAATTCCAAGGCCAAAAGGAATGAGTTTGACAGCTAGATCTTCCAAGGGGACAGTTTTTTCCCTAAGTTTTCCCACATAAGAAATAAATAAAATTAAAAAAAAAAGAAGGAGGTACCTTTCTTTGAAGGGGAGGAGAGTTCTTCCACTTTGACCATGGCCTTGTCTAAATATGATCAGAGTCAGTGAACTCAGGGGGCTTCCATAGCCTTGGCAGCTCATGACAAGAGCCTAGGGTGATTACTGAGGCCATAAACAAGAGTGTCAATTTGTTAAGTCAACAACAGGAGTCACTGTGCACTCACTCCTCATGTAGGATCTCTGTCCTTAGTGTGCTGTACATTGTGATTTAATGCTATAACTTGTACTCAAACAGTATTTTTCACTTTATGTTTCTGTGTGGGAGCAAACTGTTGAAATCTTTACTTAAGGTATGCTAAACTGATCTTCTGTATATAAAGAGAATCGAAAATGAATCTTGATGTGAATGGAAGGGGAGAGGGAGTGGGAAAGGGGAGGGTTGTGGGTGGGAGGGACGTAATGGGGGGGGAAGCCATTGTAATCCATAAGCTGCACTTTGGAAATTTATATTCATTAAATAAAAGTTTAAAAAAAAGAGAAATAAATGACAATCTTCACTCTTACTGTCTCTCATCAAATTATTAGCCCAACAAAAACACAGAATCGTAGGATTTAGAAGCTGCTGATAAAATCAAGTTATGGATTATATTGACTACTGCAGATTCAGAAAGTCTACAAAGACTTTGCTAAGCTCTCAAATGATCATTTTTTAAAAAGTAAATTATACCTCTTACTCACCTTAAGCATGCACTATGCATATTCTTTCAAGGTATAACTTTGCCTCAAATCCAACTTTCCTAGAAAATTAGTAAAATTTTACCCTCGGTGGGTCTTCTGAAAGGCACTGTACTAAGCATTCCAAACTGTTTACCTTGAGTAAGTCCCCACTTTCGAGTGGCCAGATGGGAAGGGAATTTGTGCATTTGGATAAGTTGGTTAAGATGGCTGCCAAGGTGAGCTCCAAACCTGAGATTCAGTGTGGAGGTGTTGAAGACATCATGTGTATTTGATTATGGATTTAGGCAGAGAAAGAATAGCATTGTGGGCAAACAGAGGTAGCTGAACTCTGGTTCACAAATGTGTTTTCTATCCCAGGACCCACAGTGCAGTGTGGTTTCTACCACTGTTTCTTTTTTCACTAAACACAAGTACTTATTCACTCAATCAATATATATTAGGAGTAATTTTTAAATAGAGATAAGAATACTGTCACAAAGATGCGTCCTTTTGTGAATATACAAAATAATTGGCCTGGAGCTCACAGGGACTACTGCATTTTCCTTATTCTTTGTCAGAATATGGCTTGGTTATCAATGAGAGACTGGTTTGTATCTGAGATCAAGCTAAGGAGAAAAAGGAATGCCTCATTTCACAGTAGGAAAAAGCCATATAATACTTACTTCTGGAAAAACTGAGAACTTGGTTATACAAAAGTTTTGACAGTTTTAATAATCCCCCCAAATTCAGCCTGTGATCACATGCATTTTTTATAGCTATTTCCAGGAACAAGTTTATCCTATTTACATGAAGGAATATTAAAAATTCAAGATACCCTTTGTAACAGCATTAGAAGTTTAGTAAAAGAAAATGTATCCTTTCCTATTAAATCCCACCCTACTTTTTGTCAAAAAATACCAACAGAAGCATAAGAGATCAGCGAACTTTTAGAATTTTGTAAGGACAAGACTGATAATGGGTCAAAAATAAGAAAATTCAGTTTTTACAGTTTCAAGAAATTTCTAAAGAAACCTATTTAGTCTCCATTAAAACAAACAACTTCATAATTCAGCTAAAGATGGGAATTCTTTTGAGTGGGAAAGGTAGCTGTGAGCTGAAGTTGACTTCAGCACCATTAAAAAGCCTCCACAAAGTTTAGTCAATAAAGTAAAATTGGTAAATTGCTATTTGGTTAATAACATATAAAAAGAAAAGCAAAGGTGCTTGTTTATAGCAAATGACAAAATATTAAATATGAATAGATTTATCTAATCTACCATAGGCCATATGGCAGATACATTAATTTCTCCTTTAAACCATTTATAACAAAAGGCAGAAGGTCATTGGGAACAAGTATAGGAAAAAAAGAATTCATATTTTTCCATTATTTATAGGGATGAGTTTGAATAAGCAATTAGAAAGTACTTTCCATTGCAGGAGATGACTCTGCTCTAGTGCAAGTACAGGCAGTTTGAGACATTCGTAAATATTAAACACGATGGACTGAATTTTAGACATAGGAATGCACACAAATGGTCATACATGAGAAAACAAAAGGGGGAATTCTAGAGTAGAATTCGTGACACAGATGGGCCCTGGTTCTGATCTTATCAAGAAACTGTTAGTCTCTATATTTGTTTTCTCCTGGAATTTAGTTCAATAAAATTTTCTGAAATGGAACAATAACTTAGATTCAATAGAAGTCACTTGAGAATAGCTATAGGCTTGTGGGAAATGAGCTTTTGTCAGTTCCAAGTTTGTTGGGGCACTGTTAACAAACCAGGAATTGCATTAGCAAAACAAATTTTGCAAAGAGTAAGATCAACCATAAATGAGGTCTGACTCATCTCACTAAAATCCAAATCAGATGTGTGACAAACAATAGCACAGACTCAGCCCAAATGGGAAAAGTGGTGCCCAGAGCTATACAGCCTGGAAGTTTTTCTACCAACCTTTTGTTTCTTTGTTGAAGACATTAGTTTTCTTTCTGTATCCCACGGGATCTTGGAAGTTCACGAAACATCACTTTACAAGGCTCTTTAAAGACAGTGTACCTCACTTGTATAATTTTTCATGCATTAAAAGCATGGCATTTGCAGAACAGAGATATAATATCAGTATGTCATGTCCCACTTCTCTCCAATGGTTTGATAAGCTATGATTCAATTATTTGATATAGTAGTGGCTAGTGACAAGGCCATGAAGAACAAGAGTACTGATATTTGACAGTGCATATCAATGATTTGATTTAAGGGTGAAAAAAGCTATGTGGCTTGGGAAGAGAGAAGGCTGCATAAAAATGGTTGCTCGTATGTTTGCAACTGCCAGGCCTATCAGAAGTATTCCCATATAGTACATCACTGTTTAAAATCAACATGAGAATAAATAAGGCACTAGATAAAGTGTTAGCAACACAGAAATCCAAAATAGTTTCAAATTTTGTTTCCCTTTATTCCCTTGGGAAATAGTTCACGGCATGTTTATGGGGGAAAATAGAGGTTAGGAGCCACCTTCCTGCTGATAATTTTCGGTATGATCATTCCTCACAGGGCCTTAAAGGGGTTTTGTTTTATGTTCTTTTCCTCTTTAGAATTCCTGGGATATTTGGGAGTGGGAGGAATGGAACTTGGTCATCTATTTGCACAGTCTGAAAGAGAGGAAGGCCACCAGTAGGTGGTTAGATAAATCATCCAGATGGAAGAGAAAGTTCTATGGCATGAAATGTTCTTTTGCCAGACAAATACCCATTGATGACTCTGTCCAGCAGTCATTTCCTTGATCAGTACTGCCCCCATGGAGCAGTGACCTCGCACCTGCTGCCACCCAGGGTGCCCTGATGAGCTGGTTGGTTCTGTCAACAGGGCTCTGCCTCTGCTGGTGCATGCTAGAAACATGGTTCCTGGACCATGACAATGGTCATTTTGTGAAGGATGGCAAGCACTTTTCCCTACCACATGTGAAAGACAGTGCTAATGAATGGGCCCCTTAATACCAAGCGTATTACTTGTTCTATTACTATGGACAAATACATCAGACAAAACAAAGGATCAACTGCTTTTTCTCCCTTAAGGTGACCTTTTCAAATTCCACACAGATTGCTTTTGTTTGTCCATGGGTGAACTTGGTTTGTCTCCACTCTCTTTTCTTTCTTTTTAAAATCATCACCAAAGCCACCATTACTTTGCTGGGATGACTGGCAGGATAACAGCTCAAATAAGGATTGAGTTTATGGTAAATATTTATAGATTTCTAGGGGCTGGCAGTTATTGATGAAGAATTTCATTGAGAATTCCCCAGTCATAAAATCAGGCTATCTTTAAAAATAGCTTTGTTTCAGCTCTGTTGACTGACTAAATATCCAGTGAAACAATATTTGGGAACAAGAAAGTTACATGATCGCTGGATGACCAACCACAGGTCATCCAACATTAAGTGAACCAGCTGGTAAGATTCCTAGGCTCCTTCTTCACTGTTTAGGCATATTCACAACCAACTCTCTAGAAAGGAAAAAGAATGATTGAGATAGATTATCTTTTTTCTGAAAAATACATGTACAAGCTGTTTCTGAAAGAATGATTCCCTAACACAATGACTAATTTTGTGTTATTTATGCCAAAGTAACCCAGTAAAATGTCCCATTGAAATTATAACAATCCAGATTGCCACTAGGGTTTTTGTGTTGCTGTCTGTCTTCTGTCCACATTCATAATTAGAAGCTGTGGATCTGTTTTCCCTTCTGGGTTCTTGGACCTAGTGTTAAGTCTCTCAGTATACCACAAAGATTATTTCAAGAAAAAGAGTATACATTATAATGCTTAGCATTTATATAGGTTCTTTTGATTTCAAAACAAAGTTATAAATATTTCCTACCATGACAAATCCTTGCGAGGTAGGTATTACTGTCTCTACATTACCAATAAAAACCGGAGACCAAAGAGTGAGGGACTTGGAGCCAGTCAGGAGCCTCAGGGACAGGGCATCCTGGCCACCTGTTTTGGGCTCTGAACAGGACATACCTTTCTCTTGTCTCCCACAGTCTCTATTTATGTAGGTTATATATTGTATAGATATAAAACAACAACACACAATGACATTATAGAACAATAATCTAATATTTCTGTTTCTTAGTAAAATATGTTAAGCACAGTATTTAAATTGCATTTCTCTGAAAAGCATTTGGTATATTAAATAGCAGAAGGTATATTAAATAGCTCTATAAACATTTGCTGGCATACTCTTAACAGCATAATGATTCTAAAGAGATTAAAATCCACTGATACATACAGACCTTCCCTTTATAAATACCATAAACTAATCAAAAACATGAAAAACTACTTTATTCTCAAAATGCAGACTAATAGCTTGCTGGATATTAGCAGGTAACTACATAATTTTTCTGAACTTGAGAGAAAGGATACATATTGCTGGCTGTGGTTTGAAAAGACCTATTCGGTAGGGGGGAAATGCAGTTGAAAGTTGAAAAGACTGCTATTTCCACTTTGTATCCATTCTGAAGAATTCAGACATTATCAAAAGACGTTATCTCACTTGGAACTAATGGTGAGGTGAATATAGGGATGCTATGTTATAAGAACATTTTTTGAAAAGAGAAAATGATGTGAAAAAAACCCTCATGATATTGGAAGAAAATGAAAAAGGAAGTGAAAAGGGTATTGTTCAAGAGTGTTGAAGGCTGGCATGAGATGTAGGCTGGTCATGCTTAGCTGATTGTACAGGCCTTGGAGAAGGCTAACAAGGACACACTTGGTGTTATCAGCCTCTTCTCCAAGGCAAAATCCTCACCTTCCTTCGAAAACCAGTAGTTCTCAGCATGGTGTTAAAGCAAGCACTCACTTCATGCTAGGCTTCCTAAGAACTGACCAGGAAGGTCAGCAGAAAGGTCCTGAGACCAGCGAGGGCTAAGAAACATGAATCAAAGTTTTAAAATCTGTATGCATACATAAAAACTAACTTCTAAGCCAGGATGACATTCTCAGTCTAAAGTAACAAGTACAAAAGTCTTAAACGTAGTGCATACAGAGCTAAGATATTGTTAGATAGATATGACATGTTCAGAGAACATTTTTCATAAGTGTGCTTTTTCCCTAAAAAAAAGACATATTAAATTGTTTTTCGCTCCTCAAGTCCTGTAGGTATAAATATGAAATTCAGAGCTGTTAGGTCAGTTTGTTCACTCTCATTGTATGCTCAAGGGCTCCTTCCCACTTGTGTTGTAGCTGGCAGTTTTGTTGGAGGGGGGTTTGAGTTTGAACAAGCTTGAGCAGTTTGGCTGCTTAGTTGGCTGTAAGGTTTTGGCATAAGGGGAGTACCAGTCCCTTTCAAACACATCTTTAAGTTGCTTAATGATGCTTCTGTTGTTCCTCACATCTGCCTGGTTGATAACAAGGCCGGTGCCAGCATTCTGGGTAAAATCATTCCCAACCCAGTCAAAATTTCCTGCAAACAAAGAGACAACAGTGAGGAATTAGGCTCCACTGGGAATAATTTCAGTGTAATGAAATGCAGAGAAGATTCTATTTTAACAAAATCAAAACACCCAGGACTAATGACAGAGAGAGGCTGAATTGTGTTGACAGCTCTAGAAAAAAAATTCAAGAAGCCTTACATATGGCATATTAATATTTGCATAGTATTTTGGCATTTTCTTCAGCTTTGCTATAGTTGAAACTCAAAACAAGGAATCTGCTGTTCTTTTTTGTAAATGTTATTTCTTATTGACATTCACAAGACACACTAAATACAGCAACATTTAAAATATATAGGAATACACTTTAAAATCCTGTGAATAATTACTACCATCTGAAAGAGACAACATCTAATTCATATATACAAATGAGGGATTCTAATTATAAGCCCAAGAAGCTTTCACATCGAGGAAAAACTGAAGCTAGGGAAGAACACACCTTAACTCAGGACACAAACACTAAGAATCATTTCCCAGGCACAGGAGCAGGCCTCTTGACCCAAGAATCAGGGCAGCAGCTGTGAGCACAGGCTTTCCTGACTGATGTCTTGGTGTTGGCGGGTTTACTCAATTTCTAGGACTGCTATCACAAAGTAATCACAAATTGGGAGACTTAACTTATTCACAGTTCTGGAAACAAAGTTACACAGTGTGAGTGGGATGGGTTCCTTCTCATGACTATCTTTTTCCTCTCTTCCAATGTCTTCCCTCTGTGTATCTCAGTGTCCAATTTTTTCTTTTTCATAAGAGTATCAGGCCCATCCTAATAACTTCACATTAACTTTGTCTTTATCAAGACCCTATCTACAAATCAGGCCACATAATGACATACTCCAGATTAGGACCTCAACGTATAAGTTAGTTATTCATTCATTCATTCTCCAAATAAATTGTTTATTTAATGACTAAATTTCAGGCATTTAATAAGCAAAACTTTAGGAATACAGTGATTTTCCCTACCACACCCACCTTCCCAGGCATCCTCCTCTTCCCTCTTCCATTAGATCCATTTTCAATTTACTTTATAAACAGAAGGCTAACTCTATACTGAGTAAAGAGTTCAACAATTTGCATGAAATACAAACCAAAAAGAAGTAAAAAAAACCTGCTACTCAACTGTCCAGACAAGGGTTGTTCAAAGTCATTGCATCTCAAAGTTAATTTGACTTCTTTTTTTAGAAACTTAATTAACTTTAAAGAAACACCCAAGAATGATACCTCTTTTGCAAGCACTTAGACATAACTATAACTAATGAGACATAAAAATATCCTCCACTTAATACATTAAAAGAAAGTAAGTCCTTCAACAAGTTTTATCATTAATTAAGGCAGCACCTAAGTAAACAAGCAATGGAGTTGGCATAACTAAAACTTAGGAGGCATAAGAATATCCTGCACTTAATAAACTACACTGAAATAAATCTTTGAGAACAAGTTTTAATGTTAACTCTCATAATATAACTCTTTGAGGACAGAGGTCCTGCATGGGAAGTTAGTGCACAGTGACTCCTGTTAATTTAACAATTAACACTCTAATGTATGATGTCAGTGATCACCCAAGGCCCTTGACATGAGCTGCCAAGGCTATGGAAGCCTTCTGAATCCACTGACTCCTTCAGTATTTAGAGAAAAGTACATCCTTCTTTATGACCACTTCTTTACACTGAGGTCTCATGCAGAGAGATCCTTCATGTAGAACATTTTTTGCCACAGTGTCCTAGCTATCCAGGCCTGAAATGTTCTAAAAGGCTTTTCAATCAGACCAGAATGTCTTAAGGGCTGATTCTGAGGTAAGAGTGCTACTTAAAGTGATTGCCATTCTATGAGTAGGCTGTATGGACTCCTTTTTAATTCTATCTATTATTATCACCAGACACTTAATCCTATATATATGATCACTTTAATACTTAATCCTATACACATGATCACTTTAATACTTAATCCTATGCATACAATCACTTTAACACCTAAATTGGTATTTTTACCACCCAGCTTAAGGGAATTTGGGGTCCCATGGCAAATTTTTAAACTGTACCCTTAGAAATAAGTCTTCAGGAATGTATGCAGAACTATACAATTTACAGTTACAAACTTCATACACTTCATACAACTTAGGAACATGGTGATTATTCCCATGGTGCCCACCCTCCCACCTATACTCCCAACCTTTTCTTCCTCTCTTATTCCCACTTTTTTTTTTACTAAGATCTACTTTCAATTAACTTCAGATTAACTATGTTAAGAGTTCAACAAATAGTATAAAAAATGTTCCTCAACAGTCAAGACAAGGGTTTTTCAAGTCATTTCTTGTCAAAGTGTCAATTTCACTTCTACAGATTGCCTTTTTAGGGGCTCTATTATCATAGATCAAGGAGACCATCTGCTAATAAGATTCATCCATTTTGTTGCAAATGACCAGATTTTTTTTTTACTGATGTGTAGTATTCCATGATGTATATATCCTGTAAATTTCTTTATCCAGTCTGAAGTTGATGGGCATTTAGGTTGATTCCATGTCTTAGCCATAGTGAACTGAGTTGCAGTAAACATGCGGGTGCCTTGTGGTATGTCTTGAAATCTGATATTGTGATGCCTCTGGCTTTGTTATTGTTGTATAAGGTTGCTTTAGCAGGGTCAGTGCCATAGTGTAATCCGTTAATCCTCTGCCTGTGGTGCTAGCATCCCATATAGCACCAGTCTAGTCTGGCGCCCCATTTTTGTTCTTTCGACAGCAGAGTGGGCAGTGAGAGAGAGAGAAAGGTCTTCCTTTGCTGTTGGTTCACCCTCCAATGGCTGCCGTGGCTGGTGCACTGCGCTGATCCGAAGGCAGGAGCCAGGTGCTTCTCCTGGTCTCCCATGGGGTGCAGGGCCCAAGCACTTGGGCCATCCTCCACTGCACTCCCGGGCCACAGCAGAGAGCTGGCCTGGAAGAGGGGCAACTGGGACAGAATCCGGCGCCCCGACCGGGACTAGAACCCAGTGTGCCGGCACCGCAAGGCGGAGGATTAGCCTAGTGAGCTGCGGCGCCAGCCTCCGGCTACCCTTCTTCCAGTCCAGCTCTCTGATATGGCCTGGTAAAGCAATAGAAGATGGCCCAAGACCTTGTGCCCCTGCACTCATGTGGGAGACCAGGAAGAAGTGCCTAGCTCCTGATCGGTACAGCTCTGGCAACTGCAGCCATTTGGGGAGTGAGCCAATGAAAGGAAGACCTTTCTCTCTGTCTCTCCCTCTCACTGTCTGTAACTAACTCTCAAAATAAAGTCATAAAAAAGTTTGCTTTAGCTATTCGAGTTTTCCTGTGTTTCCATATGAATTTCAGCATCATCATCTATATGAGAAGAGTGTCCTTGGTATTTTGATTGGCATTACATTGAATCTGTAAATTGCTTTTGGAAGTATGGGCATTTTGATGATCTTGATTCTTACAATCCAGGAATATGGAAGATTTTTCCTTTTTTTGTATCTTTTTTTTAATGTTTTATGATTCTCAATGTAGAAATCTTTGCCATCCTTGGTTAAATTTATTCCAAGCATTTGACTTTTTTGTTAGCTATTGTGAATGGGACTTATCTTCAAAGTTCTTTCTAAGCTATGGCTTTGTCTGTGTATTCAAAGGTTGTTGATTGTTGTGTATTGACTTTATATCCTGCTACTTTACCAAACTCTTTCATGAGTTCCATTAGTTTCCTATTGGAGTCTTTTGAATCCCCTATATATAGAATCATGTCATCTGCAAATAGTGTGTTGTCAATTTTTACTTCTCAAAAAACCAGTTCTTTTTTGCTGCTCTTTTGTATTTTTTTCAATTATGCTTATTTATTCTCTAATTTTAATTATTTCTTCTCTTCTAGTCTTGGGTTTGGTTTGCTGTTTTTCTAGGTCCTTGAGATGCACTGATAGCTCACTTGGTATGTTTCCAATTTCTTGAAGTAACAATTGCTACAAACTTTCCTGTTAACATTGCTTTTTGCTGTATAAGTTTTGATGTTGTACTGCCATTTTATTCATTTCCAGAAATTCTATGATTTCTCCAATTACCCACTGTTCATTCAGAAGCATATTTTTCAGTCTCCATGTGTTTGTAGAGATTCCTGAATTGCTGATGCCCAGCTTCATTGCATTGTGGTATGAGAAGCTGCATGGTATGACTTCTAATTTTTTGAATTTGCTTAGACTTATTTTATGGCTTAGCATGTAGTCTATCCTATAGAAGTTCCATGCACTGATGAGAAGAATGTGTATTCTGCAGCTATATGATGGAAAGTTCTGTATATACCTGTTAGGTCTATAGTGTTGATTAACTCTGCTGTTTCCCTGTTGATTTTCTGTCTGGTTGATCTGTCCATTGCTCAAAGTGGGGTATTAAAATCCTATATTACTACTATATTTGAGTCAATTCTCTCTTTAGATCCTGTAACATTTCTTTTAAATAGCCATGTGTCATGTAATTAGGTACATACATGTTTATAATAGTTACATCTTCCTGTTGATCCCTTAATCATTATTAGCAGTTTTTTTGTGTTAAAGTCTTTTTTGTCTGATATTAGGATGGCTACTCCAGCTCTTTTTTGTTTTTTGTTGGCATGGAACATTTCCCTATTTTTTGACTTTCAGTCTGCATGCATCTTTGTTGGTGAGATGTATTTCTTGTAGGCAGCAAATAGATAGGTTTTGTTTTTTTAATTCATTCAGCCAGTCTGTGTCTTTTACCTGGAGAGTTGATGCTATTTGCATACAAGGTGACTACTGATAAGTAGCAACTTTGCTCTGCCATTTTCCCATAAATATTCCTATTTTTTAACCTTGGATTTCCTTTGTACTTTTATTGGGAGATTTTTTGCCTTCACCTTCCTTCATAGTGATATCCATGTTTCTGTGTTTGAGTGTAGCACATCCTTAAGAATCTTTTGCAAGACTGGCTGGGTAATGATAAATTATTTCAATTTCTGTTTATTATGGAAGGTCTTTATTT